TTGTCTCATACAACGCTCAAGTGCCTCCACAACAGCAAATTGCGGTGCCATTCTTCAGATAACCTTGTTCACGTGGCCCACATCACAACCATAAATGCTATCACCTGTAATTTCATGTCAAAAAAGCCATGTGTTAGTGAAAAATAAATAATGGAGAGAAGCATTTGGAGGATTTCACAAAACCAACAAAATAACTTGCCCCAACTTTACACCAAAATAGAATGGACTTCACGCGGCAAAACCGTCATTTCCTGCACCCACCACCGAAACAAAACCTGACATGTAAATTAAATCGGCAACCAATTCATCACAAAGGAATATTATGAAACAATATCGAAAGGCAACGGCAGCAAACCTTGAATGAAGTTTCTTCGAACTTAACACCACCCTAGTGGACAACATGACAAAAAATCCAAAAGAAAACCATCACGCAGCAACGGTACGGGTTACCTCAAATTCCAGCCCACAACTCAACCCAAACACCCAAGAAAACCGTCACAAACTGCGCGTCTATTTCTTGCAGCAAGCCAAAACACTGCTTTCATTCTAAAAGCCAGCCATCATAGACCACACCTCAAGCTTCTCCGACAGTACAACAAGTGACTCCTTTAGAACATCCATAATATCTTGCAACATCGGTAAACCATCAAACAACATGCCAACATCATAAGGGGAAGCATGATTTCTTTTCCAAAAGTTGGATGAGGTCGCCAAACCATTCTCTCACTACTGAAGGCCCAATCTGCAAAATAATATAAAATTAAAAGAAAAGCTTTCACAACAGACAAAATAGCCACACAAGCCATTTTGTAATAAGCAGCTTTATTCAACAGCCCATAACCACAGTCTGCGCAAGAGGAACAAAAACAGGATAGCTGCAAAAGGACAAAATGTACGATATGGTGGGGTACCCAGCAATTCAAAACGCGGAGCTTATGGCAAAAACGACAGCATGCTCCAACCAGTATAAAGTGGAATCAAAACCTAGCCGCCTCCAACAAAAGAAAACGCTAGCCGCTATCTCTTTCAAAAAATCACCCCAAAGCTCTTCTCTTCCTCTTCAGAAAACCCCCAACCTCCTCTTCAAACTGGATCATCAATTTCAACAAATCTTCTTCAAAGACCTAAACCCTCACCTTCAGACTTGAAAATTCTTACAACCACAAAACACCAATGATTCACCCCTTAATCCCCTTTCGGTGAATAACAGAAACTTGCCTACCCTCCTTTAAACTTCCATTAAACCAAACAATCAAAACCCGAACGAAACCTTTCAATCAACTTCATGTTCCTTCAAATCATTCTTTGGAGACCCATTTGAAACCCGATAACTCTCCTTTAAACCTCTCTTCTCCTTTTTCCATAAATCTTCCTTTTCAAATCAAATCTATAAACAGAACCAGAAAGGAGATGAAGCAGGAAGTTCAGAACAAAACCAAACAAATTTGAGTCAAATGCAAAACAAACCTTACAGACTTGAAGCGAGTTCGAGTGATTAAATCCGCGAGAAACAGGGCAAGACGAACCGATTCATGTTAGAGGGTTGAAACGAAATTACAGCATGACGTTAAAGATTGATTTTCGTAACTTGGTTGGGTTCTCGTCTTGGTCTCGTTTACCAGAATCGTACCCTGTTTAATTTTTTTTTAAGTTCATCAAGTTTGGTTTGACCGTTTTTTATATATTAAGTTCTAAACATTGCCTTGCTCCTGTTTATTTTTTAGGAGAAGAATACTATGTCATGAGGACCGGGTTGTGCGTTGTGGGCTCAAAGGCCCGTGTGCTTTAGGTTCCCACTTCTAGTCTTTGCCAGCTACGTTTATGTGGGATGATGGGTTGATTCAGCTCAAATGATTCCTCACTCTTGACACACTCCCATCCCAGATCTATACCCCCTGATTTCTTTTTTTAAGAAATGTAAATATCTTAGTCTTTTAGTAAATTTTCAATATGTTTTTCTTTATATAAATTAACCGTATTATTACATTAATTTTTTTCTTCAGATTGTTAGTATATTTTTAAATATTTTTGCATATAACTTTAGATTTTTTATTTGGTTTTAATAAGAGTTAAGTTTTAACATTTTCATTATAATTTGAGGTTTTTTTTCATATTTCCTCATTTTTGGGTCGATGACGAAGTTTCCGCCGTTTAGCCGTCAAAATATTGACGTGAAACAAAGGATCCGAGACCACTTTTTCTTCCGATTTTATTTCGATTAATTGACCATTAAATTTAATTTCCATATTATTCATATTATTGTTATATTTATCTTAACATATTATTTATTCATTATTGTCATATTATTATTCACATATCATATCTCATTATTCATTCATTCACCCATATTCGAAAACATATAATATCGAAATCTTAAAAGCCAAATTGGTGGACTGTTGGATCTTTGGCATTTGCAGGTATCTTAATTTTAAGTAGTGCCCGACTTTGCTCAAGATGTAGTTTAGGACACAAATGCACACACACGGCTTTCTCTTGGGCTACCTGACAATGAGACCCCTTTATTTCGTGCAATCCCGTGTAAATTACATGTACCCCTCACCTATTCCGATGTATGTTTCGTATTTCTTTGATTATTAGTTAATCTCCTAGGAGCACCCATAGGGACTAGAGCGGATTCAAACTATTTTCAAACTAATCCTCGATTCATCATCGAGCCATTTTCAAACCCTTGTAAGTCGAGTGCTCATACGCATTCACCATCAACCTATTACAACTCGACCCTTGATGCGTAAGTCAAGTCGGTCTCTTTTTCAAACCATTTCATTTCCAACACGCTTTGCATGCGATAATAAGTCAAACCCTTGATCCAACGTCAAGTAGATTTTCGTAACAAATTATCAATCAATTAACAACTATTCAATTCTTTTCAAGGTGTAAAGAGTAGGTTCAAGTCTTTGATCTTGCTTTTAGTTGTTTATATGCGAGTTATCTTATTCGTGTGTGAGCAATTGACGCCTTTAAATAATATTAACAAACTCAATAATACTCGACCATCTCCAATTACTCATCCTTTCACTCACTTTTTAAACAACTTCTTTTACGATGAAAAAGAGAGTGTCCCAAGTCTTTGGTTCGCTCTCCCGACTACTTGGATCCGAGAAGCCTTTCTCAAGCTTCAATTAGTCGTCATCCGACCAATCTCATCCTTTTATACACCATTTCAAATTCAAACAACCTTCTTTTACGATGAAAAGAGAGTGTTCCAAGTCTTTGGTTCGCTTTCCCGATTACTTGGGGTCTGTGAAGTCTTTCTTAGGCTTCAAGTGATCGTCATCATTTCAACCTTACCCTTTCAAACACAACCTTATCTTCAAGATGAAAAAGAGAGAGTTCCAAGTCTTTGGTTCACTCTCCCGATTACTTGGGTCCGAGAAGTCTTTCTTAAGCTTCAAGTAATCGTCATCCGTACCCCTTTCAAACTCATTCAAATCCTATTCCTCTTCATGGTCGTTACCACGAACTACGACTGCTCTGATTCTTCATTCATTCTTGAATGTAAGATACGTAGGCACAAGATTGCAATGATCTTGGCGAGCACAATCCCCTCCATCTTCCATTTCCCCCATCATTTCCCGTAGTCGAACTACGACGCTCTGATTTCTCATTCTCGTCTGAATGAGTATACATAGGCACAAGGGCCCCAATCCTTGGCGAGCACCCTATCCTCTAACCATCCCCTTTCCCCTAGTGTCTTTATCCCTTTATAGTATCCTTTAGCATTTAGTAGTGAGAAGAGAAGAATTAAGCTTAACTAACATCCATCACAACTCGAACTAAGAGGTTCCCGTCGAGTACGACGGACGTGAGGGGTGCTAATACCTTCCCCTCGCGTAACCGACTCCCGAACCCAGGAATATGATGGCGACGACCGTGTTCTTTCCGCGTTTATGAGGTTTTCTCGATATTTTCCTCTCCCGTTCATTCGGGAAAAATAAAGTTCGGTGGCGACTCTGTCGAACCGCATTTTCCGCGCCTTTTGCGCGAGGGTCGTATGTTCGAAATTAATTTTTGAGGTGCGACAGGTGGCGACTCTGCTGGGGACTTTGCTCCATGCAAAAGAGAGTCGAGCCTATCTTAGTTTGAGTTGTTAGCTGTTTGTTTTTATTTTCTTCTCGCTTATTTATTGGTATCCTTGTCTTGGTTACTTATGCTTGAGGCATTGCGGGGTTCTTCTGCTTATAGTTATTTTGTGAGATGGCTCTACACCCGAGTCCGAGTATAACCCTAGGATTAGGATGGTGGTTGTGTAGTGGAGACTTGCGTGGAGTCTTTCACGTTATGTTGAAGCGAAAACCCCGCTTGGAGTAGATTCCTTGGAGATGTTGTTGTTGTGGTAAATCTTTGCCATAACAATAATGTTTTCGAGTCTGAATCGTTGATCCCAAGGACCATTAACCATTTTATCCATGGTGGTTGGTAGTGTTAATTCTTTGTGAATTAATACGAACGCCCCAATCAGATGAGATCCCTTGAACGTATTACTTTCTTACAGTAATATTTTCAACCTCGATCTATGACTCTGAGAACCTTTTCTAGAATCCGTGTGTCGATGGTTGTGAAGTTGATGCCTCCGAGAAGTATTTCTCGCGTGGAAGATACGAGAACCTCACCTAGAGGAGATTCTTTTAAGGATATTACTGTAATGATAAGGCTTTGTCATGGCGGTAATATCTTTGAAAGATGTCCATGACTCTAGGAACCTACCCATTTTAGAATCCTACCTGTGGGGGTTTCTTTGAGTAGTGATTGTGATCCCTGAACCGTCCACCCGGCTAATCTCAGAATTGTTTGAATTTGTGATCCTGTGATCCTGGATCTTGCATCTTGCATTTCATATCATTTGCATCGCATCTCATTTGTTGTGCATCTTGCGTTCTCCTTCCTTCATCAGTTTCTCATGTTTCTCTTTCCTTCATATCCAGTAAATCAAGCTGAGTCCTCGACACCAGTACGCAACTAGAGCCAATACAAGACGAATGATGGAGCAGATTCAACAGGAACAAGCTACCTTCAGGGAAGAGTTGGATTCTATGAAAGGAAAGATTGACCAGATCCTCGAAGCCATCCTCACGGCCAGAAGAGAGGAAGAACAGCGTGAAGCCGCTGCTGTCGTCAACAACAATGGTCAAGGACAAGGGTCTACTGTCATCCTGTTGGTTCCAATTCCAAATCCTCAGGGGATGCCATTGAACTTCAATAACGCAACCGAAGGGAACGCTTCTCATACAACCCCAGCGCCCGGAGTTACCATTGGAGCTATCCCGCAGGCCCAGCCTACTGCTGTGCAAATCCCAGCTCCCCATACCGAAGATACTCTGATGGATCATTATGACGACGTTCAGAACTATCATGCTGCTATCCCCATTTCCAGTCCTATTGCTGTTCAGGATTCGGAAGCCATGAAGATGTGCCGAGATCTAGCCGAGAAACTCTGAGCCATGGAAGGGCACAGTTCAAATTCCTTCAGTGCTTTGGAATTATGCTTGGTGCCTGATGTTGTCATTCCTCCCAAGTTCAAGGTGCCTGAGTTTTCGAAATACAAAGGTCTCAGTTGCCCAAACATTCATTTGAAGATGTATTGCCGCAAAATGGCTGCCTATGCCAGAGACGAAAAGCTCATGATTCATTGCTTCCAAGACAGTTTGTCTGGGGCATCACTCGAATGGTATATGCAGCTGGAACGTAACAGCGTGCGCACTTGGGCCGAGCTAGCTGATGCATTTGTCAAGCAGTACAAATACAACACCGATCTTGCTCCAAATCGTACTCAGCTTCAGAGTATGACTCAGAAGGATAGCGAATCCTTCAAGGAGTACGCGCAACGATGGAGAGAGCTAGCCGCAAGGGTTCATCCACCTCTTGTTGACCGTGAGCTGATTGACATCTTCATGGGTACCTTACAAATAAGTAAATATGCAACATAAAACAAAAATAGATGTAAAACCAAAGGAAAGAAAATAAAGTAAAAGAGATAAAGGAGAGATAAACAATCATAGAGATTTATACAGGTCCAACATAATAATTTGGCCTACTTCTTGAGAGTATCCACTAACTTGAGAGATTTTAGAAGGATATGCCCATGATTCTCCATATACAAGGATTTGAAGTTTAAAGGATAACTTCCAACCAAACAATGAACATAGTTTAGAATAGACATCCTCCAAACCCAATATAGATTTTCCAAAGGGCTGATCTTGAACCAAGATGGAGTTTTATAATGGCTATCCTTCAAACCGAGATGGATTTTTATATTGGATATCCTCCGAACCAAGATGAACTTTTTATAATGAATATCCTCCAAACCGAACCATACTTTTACACAAGCTGACCTCTGAATTGTGATGATATTGTATATAGACTAATCTCAAACAGTATAAGCTTTTAAACTAGGCTGGACTCTAGAACTAACAGAGTTTTACATGGCTTATCTAAGGAACCATTATGGATATTTTAACGGTTGATCTTCACGAACCAAAACTGAGGTTTTCTTCCCGAAAAAACTCACTAACCAAAAAAAGACTATTTTACTAGTTTAGCTCTCAACAAAATAACTTCTTATAGAATACTATTTTACACAAGAGATAATATACTCTTGGTAAATTACAATTAATCCCTTTCCCAGAATAATTATCCTCACTTAAATACAAGAATACTCTCGAAGCACTAATGGCAAAATATACATGACAAAATGAGAGATTTATAGATAATGAAGAGTGGGTGAAAAAGTAGGATGAATAACCTTTTTATGGATGAAATGAAAGGATATATAAGCTCTTTATTTATAGGTTAGAGCATGGTTTAAAATTGGAAACAATGAATGGGCGAAATGAATGCCATAATTGATTAGGTCAATCGATTATTAGACCTAAATAATCGATTGTACAAGCCACAAATGGAAGGTTTTGATATTTATTCATTACAAATTATTAAGAGACTGTCCCAATTGATATTAGGCTCAACCAAGTGAAAACAATCGATTACAAGCTTAGGGCTATTCAATTATCAGTGTTAAAAAGTCCTTTAATTGATAAAACAATCCTTTAATTAGTTAGCTAGACCTTAAAAATATTTTCAGTTATTTTTCACAAATAAAAGTGGCTTATAAAAGGTTTTAAGTGTGTGTGTGATTTTTATATAGTATTTTGAGAATTGTCGTTGTGTCTTTAGAATAAAATTATCACTTAGATGGACACAATCAAAAGAACTTTCACACTTCCTCTCTTTTACAATCTGAAGCTTCAAGTCTTTCGATCATTATCTTTGAGTTTATCTTCAAACAATAACCTTGAGTCTTCTATCTTGATGGGGCTTGAGATGTCTTTGAGTTTATTGCTATCATCTGAGAGCTGAGAGCTCAAACTATTGGCGAACCTTGAAACAAAAGTCTTCACTTAAATTCCGTTTGACAATCATAGTGTTGACTTTAAAGAAATAACTTGATCTTCAAGAACATCTTCAAAAGGGTAGCTTGATTCAAGAGGATATATTGATAAACCAACTCGAGCATTTTCGATTACTTGAGTTATCTTCAATAGATAAGGACCTCACTAGATTTTTTTATGCCAGATGTTGTCATCATAAAAAATAAACAACCATTTAGTTGATTGCAACTTTGTTATCAATAGACTTCACCACATTGGATAACTTTGACATTACATGCAAACACAAAGATTCACATTATTGGAACTTATCATTATCTAATTGTAACCCGAGTGCACATCCATAAAAATCAATATTCATAATCCAGAGGTGCCATTTATCAACTCATCAATGTTGGACAGCGTGTATGGGTCTTTAAGACATGCCTTATTCAGGTTGGTAAAATACAAACATATCGTCCAATTTTCTGATTTTTTTTGTAGCATCACAATGTTATCCAGCCATGTCAAATATTTAATTTCTTGAAGGAACCCTGGCTCCTTCAACTTTGTCACCTCTTTTAAGATGGATAATTTCTTATGCTTTTGTAATTTATGTTTCCTATAAGATACATGTTTGAATCGGAACATAATTCATAAAAGGTGATACATCGTACTCAGATCTATTGGGATATCTAGTGGAGCCCAAGTGAACAAATTCACATTTTCTTCTTGTAGTTGCACAATCTTGGTTTTCTTATCTCTTAACAACGAGGTTTCGACTTGATTATATTTGTTTCAAAAGGAAAAATGTAATAAGTAGATAGATAAAAGGGGAAAAGTTCCAAAAATAGAGAGTATGGTACAAGGCACAAAAAGTGCCAAAGAAGCAATAATGGCCCAAGAATCAATGAAAAAATAGAGAAGAAAAAACAACAACAAAAAACACCCAGGAACCACCAAACAGAGATACTCCAAAAGAGATTGCTGCCACAACTCCACCCAACACTTAACCAGGCTAGAGCTCAAAACATCTGATAAAAAATGAACAGAACAAGGAACAACAGGAGAAGATCAAAGCCACCACAAACCCCAAGATAAGGATCATTAAATAAAACCATTATTGGTTTAAACATAGAATATGGTTCTGAATCCAATTCTAGGAGAGGAAAATTTTCAATAGCGACCTGCAAAAAAACCAACTCCAAGCAAACAGAAAACACATTTATCCTCCACCTCTTTCACATTTGTTGAAATACTAGAAAAATTCTTATCATTATGCACAAACCAAATGGTCCCATGACATATCATAGAAAACCTAATCTAACCATAACATATCTCATACCGAACCACAAAGCTCAAAAAGAGAACTAGGATCCCTAGGAAGAACTAACTAGAAGCCCAATCCTTTACCAAACACTGAAAGCTAAGGTGCAAATAACAAATATGTGAGAAGCTGACTCAAGCAAATCTTTGTGCAGAATGCAATAAGTGGCCTCCAGATCAACAAAGACCTTCCTCTTAAAAAGACTATCTCTAGACAAGAATCTATCTTGCGGAACCTATCAAGAGAATACTTTCACCTTAAAGAGGCCCCAACTATCCCAGATAAGGGGAAAGTTTGGAAATTGCAACCCAACTTAGATAACAGAGGGAGATACAACAAGGTTGAGATGATAGACAGATGCCACCGAAAAGATATCGTCCCTATTATGCCTCCAAATCCACTTATCTATTTCCTCACTAAGTTGGACGTCTTAGAGAATCGAAAAGAAGTTAGCCACCAGAGGTACCTCATGGACAAAAAAAAGGAGTGTGTGCCATCTAAGATCCCAAGAAAAACTACTCTTCACCCACCTACCAGTTTCCCTCACAGACCTATCCTAGATTTGAGGAATGGTAAAAAAAAAAGCTCGTAGAACCTAACCTGAAGAGGAATATCTTAATACAAGGATCATCCCAATTGAAAGAGATTTGAATGTCTGACCCCACCTTCATAACAAGACCATTCTCAAACCATTTATGAGGATCTTTCTTCTTGGACCCAAGAAGAGACACACCTTCCCACCAAGCCGAGACAGAGCACAACTCATAAATCGTACCTCCACTTAAGTAAGAAACATTAGGGACATTATAATAAACAGACAAAATATAACACCAAAGATCCGACTTGCTTAATTTAATGGCTTTTAGAGTCTATTCGAAGAGTTTCAAATCTATAAGTGTCGATCTATCCTCCAAATGATTAGATTGGGGATCCAGGTTCACATAGTTAACTTTATTTAATTTCAAATCTTCTATAAGTGATAGAAAATTGTATTTAGTCGTCTAATAAAAAATTTCTAAGTTACTAAATTATTAAAAGCATTTAAAAATATTAATATGATTTTTTGAAATGCACGTGATTCACTGGATAACAATGTTTCTCCTTATACAAAACAAGGAGAAAAATATAAGACAAATATTTATGTGAAAAGTTATTAGAATTTTGAACAAATGGTGGAAAATGATGAAATTGTGACGGAGCAAGTATAAATTATTAATAGTATGTAATTTATAGATGACAATTAGATTTATTAAGTCAAAATCCGTTCAACTCATCTATCAAAAAATTCATCAAATCCAACCACCAAATAAAAAATAAATTAATGAATTTGATTAAATTCATCCAACATATTTTAATGATACAATAAATTATAATTTTTTTAAAATTAAAACAAATGAATTTTTTTAGAAAATAAAAAAAAATGTCTTTTTTTTTCCGGAAATGAAAAAAATGATTTTTTTTGAAAATACAAAAACTCAATTTTTTTTCAAAAAAAATATTTATTTTTAAAAAAATCGAATTTTTCTATAAAAAAACAAAAAATCGATGTTTTTCCAAAAAAAATTGCTTTTTTCAAAAAAAAAAGTTCAATTATTTTCAAAACTAAAAAAGATCAATTTTTAAAAAATAAAAATAAAAATATCAATTTTTTCAATAAAAAATCATTTTTTTGGAAAATAGAAACACAATTTTTAGATGGATGGATCCACTAAAAATATGTTAATGGAGGGAGTTTATCTTTAATAGATAA